TGTGTTGATTTAAAGTGTTCTTCTGTCGGTGTTTGTGCTGCAGCGTGACAGACGATGGTGAACCAGGTGCAGCGCGGTGACGGGAGCTGGGGCAGTCGCAGCGACTCCAGCGCCGCCAGTACCAGCGGGGGGGACAGCTCCAAAGACAGCTCCCGATGTTCCACCCCGGTCCTGGACTCGGACCGCTCCGACCGCCTCAGGGACAAGATGCGCCGCCGGATCGACTCCGGAGACCACTGGTTCTCCCTGGAGTTCTTCCCCCCGCGCACGGCCAGCGGAGCGGTCAACCTCATCTCCAGGTAAACTCCGGCACACAGAGCGACGCAGAGTGACACACAACTTTAGGACGGACACATTTCACTAAAACAAACACACCTAACATCTTTAGATTTAAGATTTTACTACAAATGTTGTTTAAATAGGAGGGTTTCAGTCACGTGATCACGATGATGCGCGAATTTCAGGTGGAGGGCAAGACAGCAGATTTTATTTGACTAATTAAACCAAAACCAAAACTGGAGAATCATCAAAACTTGAAACACAATTTAAGTGAGATGTGAAGAGGAGCTGAGTTAAGTGAAAGAAGAACATTTAGTCTCATGTCATCGGCCACAACTGCAGCTGTTAAATATCAGATATCGACTCAAAACCACATCTCTGTTTTTAACACTGAACAAAACGACTCTGAAACAAAACGGTGAACTTCTACTTCCACATAAATGCCCCGACACTTCTCTGTAATAATGGTTTGGTTTAATGGTTTTGTTTAATGTTTGTTTGTTTTAATGGTTTGTTTTAATAGTTTGTTTGTTTTAATAGTTTGTTGACTTGGTTTCTGTTTGCGCAGGTTTGACCGTATGGGCTCCGGGGGGCCCCTGTTCATCGACATCACGTGGCACCCGGCGGGCGACCCCGGCTCCGATAAGGAGACGTCGTCCATGATGATCGCCAGCACCGCGGTCAACTACTGCGGCCTGGAGAGCGTCCTCCACCTCACCTGCTGCAACCAGAGCCGCGCCAACATCAGCGCTCACCTGGCCAAAGCCAAACGCCTCGGCCTCAAGAACATCATGGCCCTCAGAGGAGGTACGGGACCTCACCTCTGCCCCAGACTAATGAAGCTCAGCGCGGCCGGCAGCTGCAGGAGACAATATAGAGCCGAGGTCCATGTTAGGGAAAGGGTCATTCCACGCCATTTCATTAAATTTCCAGAAAATCTCACACATCATGTTTTTTAAAAATTTTGAAAAAGTTACCAGCTGGTCCCAAACATCATGTACCAACCCTGTGAAGTTTTACTGATTTTTGATCATTACTTTTCAAGTTACAGTTCATTTAGTGAGGGGAGGATGTGTCCATTTACAGGCCCAAAATCGCGTCATTTTTTACAAATCTTGATTCTCAAAAAAATTTAAGGGTCTCCTATAGGGATGGGCATGATTAATCGATTAATCGATAATTGATCATTAAGAATTTCATCGATTACGTTCATTTTAATGGACAAACTGAATGTATGTTTGTGTGTCGTGACCAAACAGGTGTGTACATGTGTCTCTGCATCAGAAGGAGCGAGACACAAACAGTGGGTCAGTCTGTAACGAACCGAAGCACAAATGTGGATTTAACCAGGATTTGTAGAAGAAATTCCACACTTTCCGTTGCGTTGGGACAAGTGTGAGTCCATGTGCACAGTGGATAAAGCAGCACATATGTTTCTGTGTCCAGTGGGAAAAAGTTTTTCCAGGTGAGAGTCGCTCAATGTGGATGACGAGGCCCCGCCCCCCTCCCCCCGTACGCTGTCCTGGTTTTGACAAACACAAATCTGGTCACACTGACCTGTATTCACCTGAGTCATGTCTTTTAATCCAACACAAGTTGAACCACATCAGCGACACAAGAGCTGGAGTTTTATCTTCACTTAGTTTATGTAAATTAGTGATGTGGTTTTAAGTTTTGTTTCTGTGAGATTTGAACAAAACTGAATTAAACACATTATAATGTCAAACAGCTGATGTGGATCTAGAGTCGTTATGTTTATATGTCGTAAAGTTGAATTTATTGATGCAGATTAGTGCAGATAGTAATAATAATGATGATCATTTTAATATAAAAACGTTAATGATTAATCGATAATCGATCATTAATTCTTCCAACGATCGATTAAGAAAATTTCATCGAATGCCCGTCACTAGTCTCAAGTGGGTTTAAAAAGGGGCTAAAAATTGTACGGTCACGGAAATGAACACGTTTTTTTTTTTTTCATTTTTAATTTTATATAAAATGACAATGAGTTGAGAAACCAAACTTTCGATCGTTGTTATTTGAACACAGAGGTGAGGAGAACAAGTCTACAACATTTCAGCCTCTGTGTGTGTGATTCTTACGGAGATATCGACCTGTGAAAACGAACGAGAAAAAATGACGCGATTTTGGGCCTGTAAATGGACACATCCTCCCCTCACGAAATGAGCTGTAACTTAAAAAATAATGATCGAAAATCACTAAAACTTCACAGGGTTGGTACATGACAGTAAAGGGACTATTTATTTTATTTTTTTCAAAATTTTTTGAGATTGAAATGCGTGAGCCATTTGGTGAAATGGCGTGGAATGACCCAAAATGAATTTAGTGACAGACACTTTTTTTCTTTTTTTTTAATTTATGTATTTATTTTGGGCAAGTTCACATTCTTTTACAATGGAACAGAATATTATCCACATGACATTAGTGCGATCGCAACAGAAATAACAACAACAAATATTTGCCCAAAAAGGAGCGGGAAGAAGAAAACTTATTTAATCCCACCTCCTTTTATAATTGAACATATGAGCTTTGTTTTGCATTCTTCAAACATTTTTCTTTTTATTTTAGACCATATGAACTATTTACACGTGACATAGTGAAATTAAAAACCCCAGGATCATGTGGAGCGAGTTCTTAGAAATGCAACGATACAGTTTTCCTACGATTCGATACGTACCTCAATATTGATTTGATTTTGATACGATTTAAGACACGAAAAAAAAAAAAATCTCATGTGATTTTTTTCTGCTAATGAGTAAAATATAATAACACTATGACGTGAATGAAACAAAACACACAACTCATGTACAGCTGCAGTTTATTTGTAAAGTGTTTTAGTTCATTTTATCAGTGATTTACAGCTCAGAACTTTTATTCAGTGAAAATAAGAAGAGTTTCTCAGGTTGTTTTATAATATAGCCAGTTGACTCTTAAAGGTTGTATGGAGGATTTTTTTGTTTCAAATTGTCAGTGATAGATTATAGATGCAGTCGCCTTGTAATTATGATGACCAAAAAAAAAAGAATAAAAAAAATTCATCAACTCTGGACGTGGTGGGCTAAACATTTGCCAATAGATAACGACACTGCCTCGTTATCTGTGAGCTGACAGGCTGTCAATCAAACTCCCTACGTTTCTAGAGTAACTGACTTGCCTGCGCCGCCGGTACGTGGTTTATGTACGACACAGACGCTGTTTACTCCACCAACGCAACAGTTCTTAGCGGCTTTTTTGACCTATATCTTCCTCGCAGTTCGCACAAAGTTTGTTGCGATGGCGACAAGAATCCAGGAGCAGTTCGCCGCAAAAGAAAGTCTGTTTTTGAGGTGAAAGAAGAAGACAAGGGGAAAAGCAGCGAAGCCAAACTAAGGTGATTCTTGAAGATTCATTCCAGCGATGGCGCGACTGAAGCAGACGAAGAGTCTAAAGACTGAACCACTGGTCCACAAATTACTCCTGGACAGGAAACTTCTGCTTATTATGAAAACGTACTTTATTTCCAAGAGCGACACAAACGTTTTTCAGGACACGAAAGTGATATCCTATGTCTGAAAACGTCATTTTCAAGGCAAAGAAAGAGTCCGCTTGCTGCTGCGTGTTGTAGTTAGTTCATTCGCACTGAATCTCCGCGCACTCTTCTCTGCACCCTTTCCTGCTCCTCTCTCCTCTCTCCCTGCTCCGCTCTTCTCCCTGCTCTTCACTTCTCGTCCGCGCACGAAATGTCCGCGCCCCCTCCCCCCGCTCCTCACTTCTCCGTCTTGCCTAACCAACACTGTAGTTAGTTGTTTACAAGTCATGTGCAGTTCACCGGCTGTAAACAAACCTGTTTGTGGCGTAAGGAGGAGGAGGGAGGAGGTGTTTCTACGTAGGAGCTGTGGGGGAGGGGAGGTGGTTTCACGCAGGAGCAACATTTGAAAAAGGACAAACAGTCGCTGGATTTCTCCTTCCTTGGAAAATCCTCTATACAACCTTTAATCTAGACTGAAGGGGAGTTACACTTTTACTTTTTTGATGATGATCTGATGAGTTCTTTTCGTCTTCAGTCTTTCTCTCCTCTCTGAAGCCAAAATTGATTCTGAAGTATTTAAAAGTGAATCCCTTTGTCGTTCCTGCGTCTACGAACGAAAAATAAAAAGTGAGTAAAGATCAAACCGTCCCGTGTTAGAATATTTCAGCTGTGAGTCTCTGTGGAGCTGTTTTCTGTTTCTGCGTCTGAGGAGGACAAAAGAACTGGACAAAGTCTAAACGAAACAAAAACACACAGAGACACGGAGGGACATGAGTGGATTCACCAACAACAGGATGGAATAATTCGATATTATTTCAAATACAGTTACGACACGATACAAACATTTTCAGACCAAAATGACGAGGCTCACAGCAGCAGTTACAGAGGGAAGAGGGACGATTTTTCAGTGTGAAGTTATTTTGGAACGTGGTGATTAGTGGTTTACCTCTGTCCATAAACACTCTGTGTATCACTAACGTTGTGGTTGTGTGTTGTGTGTGTTGTGTGTGTTGTGTGTTTCAGACCCGGTGGGGGAGGACTGGGAGGAGGAGGAGGAAGGATTCAACTACGCCGTGGATCTGGTCAAACACATCCGCTCGGAGTTCGACGATTATTTTGACATCTGCGTCGCCGGTATGTTCTGATGATCTTTTGGCTTTAGAAGGATCCACACAGAGAGCAGAGTGTGTGTGTGTGTGTGTGTGTGTGTGTGTGTGTGTGTGTGTGTGTGTGTGTCGTGTGTGTGTGTGGGCGTCCGATGGGAGAGATGTTATTGCTTTGTCAAGAATGTTCCACAGTGGGCCAACTACAGGCACCATTACAGTTCAGATCTGTGGAGAGGCGTCTTTATTCACAGAGAGAATGATTGTAGAAACATCTGTAATAGTGTGGTCCACCAAAACATGGTAAAAATAAAGTTTCAGATCTTCTCGATTAGAACCTGCTTTAGGTTTTAGCTCCAAAATATGATTTAGGGAGAAATGTGGAGGAAAAATTAGATGTTTCCGAGGAGCTCAAGCTGCATGAAGTTTGTGCTGAATTTGTGAAGCTCCAGCAGAGGATTTGTTTTTCCTTCAGAAGCTTCACAGTCATCAACATTCAGTCTGAACAGTTTTGGGCTTTGGTCTTTGGTCCTCGAGTGGAGAAATGTTTGTCCTGATGTTCTTCCTCCAGTGCGACAGAAGAACAGAAGAAACTGACGCTTCACGATCTGATGGAAAAGGAAGGTTCAGAAGGTTCAGAGGTTCAGAGGTTCAGAGGATTCCACCAAAGCCACGAGACAAAGACCTTCATCCAGCAGATCATGAAGAGAAGAAGATCAGGGAGTTTGAGGAGTTTCTTCTTCTTCTGGGCTGATGATGATGAGACTGAAGCTGAAGCTGCTCAAACTGAGCTTCAGGAAAATGTCCAGGATGTTTCTGAAACGAGCTGAAGATTCTTCAAGATTTGAACTGAAGAACAAAAACTGAAGATCAGAAACAGGATCCACTGCAGGAGTCTCACACACAGGAGCAGCTTTAGAGACGAAAACAAAACTGCCAAAGCTGATTCTCATGAGATTTAAGTCGTGTTCTGGTGTTGTTTCCTCCTCAAAAACAGAGCTGGAGTCGTGTTTGTTTCATTCATGTTTGAGTAACTCTTTATTATTTGGATCAGTCTCAAGAAAATAAACGCAACCCCAACGTGTGTGTGTGTGCGTGCGTGTGTGTGTGTGTGCGTGTGTGTGTGCGTGTGTGTGTGTGTGTGTGTGTGTGTGTGTGCAGGGTACCCCACCGGGCACCCCGAGGCCGACAGTTACAAGGACGACCTGAGGCACCTGCAGGAGAAGGTGGCGGCAGGTGCAGACTTCGTCATCACGCAGCTTTTCTTCAGAGCCGAGACCTTCCTGAAGTTTGAGGAGGACTGCAGGGCCATCGGGATCACCTGCCCCATCCTGCCAGGGATCTTCCCCATACAGGTACCCCCTGTCACACCCGTCACACCCGTCACACCCGTCACACCCGTCACACCTGTCACACCCGTCACACCCGTCACACCCGTCACACCTGTCACACCTGTCACACCTGTCACACCTGTCACCCCCGTCACACCCGTCACACCTGTCACACCTGTCACACTGTCACCGTCACACCCGTCACACCCGTCACACCTGTCACACCCGTCACACCTGTCACACCCGTCACACCCGTCACACCCGTCACACCCGTCACACCTGTCACACCCGTCACACCCGTCACACCCGTCACACCCGTCACGTCACCCGTCACACCCGTCACACCTGTCACACGTCACACCGTCACACCCGTCACACCCGTCACACCCGTCACACCGTCACACACCTCACACCCGTCACACCCGTCACACCTGTCACACCACTCAAACCACACATTACATTGTCAACACATACACCACATTTAATTCTGAATAAAAATTAATTCCACTTTAAAAAGACCACGTAAACATTTATTAGAAAATTATTATTTGGAATTAAAGTACATTTTTTCAGAGGGTGAGAAGTTTCAGAAGAGAAGTTCTCTTTGGTGAGAAGCTCTGCATTGCTTCCTGAATATGTCCCTGGCCCTGGCGTGGGCTCAGAGCGCAGATAACTCTCACAAAAATAACTTGGAAGAGTTTTGATGGTTTTAAAAATTCAGGAGAATCCTTGAAAAGCGCTGATTTCATGTGGACTGACCCAATGACAGAATTCTCTTTGTGAGTGAACGGCTCAACCTCAAAACAGAACAAAAACAAAACATTACATATAAAATCTTGATCTGTTTCTGTACATTCTGTGAAAATTTGAGGTTATTTCAACAAGAATTGCCAAAAAAAATTATTGGTCTGCAAAATTATGCCACATTTTTTTGGGAAAATCCTGTATTAAAATAACAGAGAGTAAAAGAAATATATAAAAAATTGTTATAAACTTCTAAAAAAAAAAATAGCAAGAGACTTTTATCAATAAGACATAAATGATATAACTTTATATGACTTTATATGAATGTTTTTACACTCCATGATTGTGTCTCATATAAAGTACTGCGTAACAACACAGTCACTCGCTGCTGGAACAACACTCAAACCCATCAAATCACTTTTTTAAAAAGCCATAAAAATATTGGACAAGAAACCATTCTCATTTCACCACTGCACTATTTTACACAAGTATAATTTGCTTAATTTTAATAATTTTATTGGTTTTAAATATGGATGTTTTGTCTATAAAGTTTTGCATGGACTTGCCCCTCCTCCATTACAGGATTTTATTAAAGTAAAGACTGTGAGTGGAACTGGGGCCACAGCTCAGGAAACTGTGACGTCCACACAGACGCTCCACACTCACACAAACTGTGTCTCAGTCAGAGGAACAACATTTTGGAACAATCTGTCACTGTCAATAAGAGAAACTCCAACTCTTGCCACCTTCAAGTCCTACTTAAAAGAGTGACTAAAGAAAAACCAGACTTGTGGACACTTTTAGTATAGATTTGTTACTTGTTTTTGCTTTGTTTAAATTTGTGGTGTTTCCTGCCGAGGGACGACAGATGGAAATGAGCAGTCTTGCTATAATCTGTCATATTTACACTGCAGTATGTCACAGTTTATAGAAGAACCCTAAAGAAACTGAAAGAAAACACGGACAGTTTGAGCTCACAAAAATACTCTGAGCTCTGTGGTCAGGTCAGAGGTCAGGAGTCAGGGGTCAGGGGTCGGGTTCTGTGGGAGGATCGTCTCTGGGCCGTTTTTTCCCGGGAGCTGCAGTACCGGGAGCGGCCTCTAGTCCTTCCCCCCACGTGGCGGGAGGGGGAGGGGCTGATCTTATTCCGGCTCCGTGATCACACCACATTCCTCTTATCTGACACGAGAGCGGCCGCGGCCTTCACCCACATGAACCCCCTGAACTCTTTCTAGGAATCCTGTTTCACTCCGCCTTCTTTTACCTTCTAGAAAATCACAAGAGCGAGTCTGAGCGGGGAATTATTCAGCAAGAATTTAACTCATTAACAACAATTCAACAAGATTATGGTGCATTTTAAAGACGTTTTATCACACAAAACTGACTCTTGTTGAGCTTTGAGTCGTGTTCTAATGTTGTTTCCTCCTCACAAACAGACCTGGAGTTGTGTTTGTTTCATTCACATGTTTGAGTAACACTTTATTATGAGTCTGTTTACATCTCCAAAACTCCAAACGCTCTGTTCCACCTTGTGATGTCATGAAATTGTAGTTTTCAAGTGAGTGAGTTTTACTGCCCCGGAGCCTCTGGTCTCACTGGACCATGACTCAGGTGAATGTTTGACACTTGGTTTGTATTTCGTAATAATTCAACGTATTAAACCTCTGAATGTTTAATGAGACAGAAGCAGAACGATGATAAAAGTGAGTTTATCTTTACTACAGCGGCTCAGATAAAGGCGGCGCTCAGGGACCTGTCGGACTGATCCTGGGTCACTGGGTCACTGGGACACAGCCACGTGTCGGAGCGTGTCTCTGTCTCTCTCACTCTGTGTCTCTCGTGTTTTCTCGCTCTTTCTCTCTGTCTCTCTTCTGTGTAGAGCAGGTCCTGCTTCTCTCTCTCATGGTTTGGTTTGAGGTCAAAAGAGTCTGAAGAACATCACTGTATAAAAACAAACGCCCCTAATGTCTGTGAAACATAAAACTGTCCCGTCCATTTCAGAGACGTTTCTTTGCAGTTGCTCCGTCCCTCAGTGTCTCATCTGTCGTCAGATGTTCCAGACCAGAGGACACAGACCTCAGTGTGTGGGTCTCCTCAGGTCTGGACCTGAACATCTGTGAGCTCCAGGACACTACACACACATGTGCTTGTGCTCTTGTGTGCAGGGGTACCAGTCTCTGCGGCAGCTGGTCAAACTGTCCAAACTGGAAGTTCCAGAGGAGATCACCAAAGTGATCGAGCCCATCAAAGACAACGACGCCGCCATCAGGAACTACGGCATCCACCAGGCGGTGGAGATGTGCCGCGTGCTGCTCGACAGCGGGAAGGTCCCAGGGCTGCACTTCTACACTCTGAACAGAGAAGTCGCCACCATGGAGGTGCTCAGGCAGCTCGGCCTGTGGCAGGAGGACCCCAGGTACTGACCCCGGTCACACGCACTTTACACACACACACACTGTGTGTACATGTGAATACACACACTCATACAGGTACTGACCCTGCACACACACGCACTTTACACACACACACTCTGTACACACATGAATACACACACTCATACATGTACTGACCCGGCACATGCTCAGAGTTTACACACGCTCAGTGTACATACACATAACACTATACACACATGATGAATACACACACGCAGTATGAATACACTGATACAGGGACTGTGTCCATGTGGGAGACAGTCTTCTGCTCATGTGTTCAAACCGTGCTCACGTCTGTGCCCGTGTCTGTGTCCGTGTCTGTGTCCGTGTCTGTGCTCGTGTCTGTGCCCGTGTCTGTGCTCGTGTCTGTGCTCGTGTCTGTGCCGTGTCTGTGCTCGTGTCTGTGCCGTGTCTGTGTCCGTGTCTGTGTCTGTGCCGTGTCTGTACCCGTGTCTGTGTCCGTGTCTGTACCCGTGTCTGTGCCCGTGTCTGTGCCCGTGTCTGTGCCCGTGTCTGTGCCCGTGTCTGTGCTCGTGTCTGTGCTCGTGTCTGTGCCCGTGTCTGTGCTGTCTGTGTCTG